TTCTTTAGCAAGGCAGTGGTCGTCTTGGAGGTGTGTTTGGGGTCGTTATAATGTTGGAATACAGCCCTGCAGCCCAGTCTCCGAAGGGAGGGGATCATGCTCTGCTTCAGTATGTTGAGCATGTGCTCAATGGATGTCTCTTCTTGCAAAGGATTTGAACGTGAGATTAAGGAGTATTCAAGACAATTTCTTTCATATAGCATGCAGCCAATGAGGTATTTCGCTTTATATTTGCTTTGTTTGTATTTTGTGTTTGAAGTTCTTAAAGTTTGTATGTTTGCTAATGTATGTTTTGGTTTATATTAAGTTAATGTGGTTTTGTATTCATTGTTTAGTTTTCACGGTGGATTTGGGGGACAAGCCAACAAATAAACCAGTAGTACGGAAACCATTTGTGTCAGCGTATGCTTGAAGGGAGTTTCTCACACTACATGTTGGCATTCATGGTTCCCTCAATGAACTGTAGCTCCCCAGTGCCGGCAGCACTCATGCAGCCCCAGACCATGACACTCCCACCACCATGCTTGACTGTAGGCAAGACACACTTGTCTTTGTACTCCTCACCTGGTTGCCACCACACACGCTTGACATCATCTGAACCAAATAAGTTTATCTTGGTCTCATCAGACCACAGGACATGGTTCCAGTAATCCATTTCTTTGCCATGAGGTGCCATGTTGAACTTCCAGTGACCAGTATGAGAGAGTGAGAGCGATAACACCAAATTTGACACACCTGCTCCCCATTCACACCTGAGACCTTGTAACACTAATGAGTCACATGACACCGGGGAGAGAAAATGGCTAATTGGGCCCAATTTGGAAATTTTCACTTAGAGGTGTACTCACTTTTGTGGCAAGCAGTTTAGACATTAATGGCTGTGTGTTGAGTTATTTTGAGGGGACAGCAAATTTACACTGTTATACAAGCTGTACACTCACTACCTTACATTGTAGCAAAGTGTCATTTCTTCAGTGTTGTCACATGAAAAGATATAATAAAATATTTACAAAAATGTGAGGGGTGTACTCACTTCGGTGAGATACTGTATATATAATTAAATACTGAATACACTGAAATTATATATACACCACCCCATTCTCATTATCGGCATTGGCCATTAAAATATACATGTTGGCCTGCCCTCAATTTACACTGACAATCAGGAATGAATTCCTTGGTTAAAAACAAATCTTGAAAACATTTAATAGTTGTTTCTCAGCCAGTTTTCCAGTTATTATTACCTCATGTAATGTGCTACTTGTCCAGAGATCATCATCAGCTCCATCTTTCCTTAAGTCCATTTCTGCAGGGAAATAACATTTTAAAAAGTTAAATTGAACAGTCAAGAATAAATGTATATATTTTGAGGTGTATAAACATTTTGAGGTATATAAACAAAGAACAAAGATAGCAACAATTAACATTACTTTGAGCACAGACAAACAGAGCATTTACATTTGTAATTTCAATGCAACAGATCAACTTTCTTGAGCATTTAGGGTGGAAGCAAAGGAAGAAAGTTCAGACCAACAGACATTTGCCACCAGAAGCGACTGAGATCGTAAAGCATTATTCTGTAGCTGCTCTAGAACCTCTTAAACTGGTCTTAAGCATTTCAATCACACCTCTCTGACTGGTGATCTTCTCCAGTTGCACCACACACGGCTTCACTGTGTTTGAGTGTTGAACCATCTCTGGAAAACAGCACATTGTTTACATCAATCTAACCAGCCTCTGCTGGATCTGACTGGATAGAACTTTAACTGCACTATACAGCGATACAAAAAAAAGTATATAGATTACAATTTGATAATTTTTATTGTTCTTACTATGTAAATTATAACACTGAATGGATAATGATAACACTAAATTAATCCATGACAATTCATTGGGAAAGCAAATCCTAATATGAGGAGAACCCTTTAGTACCTGTGTTAATAACATGCAAGCTAGATGATGTTTCTATATCTTCATACTTTAATCCAGATATTAGTCTTGCAGAGCTAGACATCTAGCTGTCTGCATAAGGCCAGCTTCACTTTACAGCTTTTCTGGCTAAGAACTGCCCATTTGGCCGCTTTGTGTAAGCATAGTTACAAATCATCAATACCACCCAGAAATTTTGAAAATACTGGAGCCGCTTATGGTCTTGGCAGTGACCAATGAGCTGCTTCCCACAATGAACAAAAGAGAAAGCAATTGTCAGCCTGCTCTGACGTGATCCGATCTCATCCAGACTTTTTCCTCAGCAATGCAACTTTGAATATCTTTCAAACTGAATACCATGATCCTCGCAAAGCCCAATGGTTAGTCAAAGTTTTTAGTTCTTCCTCACCATTGCCCATCATAGTAGCCCTTACATTGAAAGCACAATGTGGCATTCAGATGGACTAATAAAACACCCGTGCGCCCTGAATTCCAGAAGTTACATATTTATTAGAGGGTCTGCGAGTGTTTTTCTGGTGTGTAGGCTAGTTTTTTTTCTTCAGGTTTCTCAACTATTGTTGGACACGGAGTTTTGGTGTTGTTGTTTTTTGTTACCAATGATTGGTGCTGCCTTGCCTTTTTTTTTATGAAAAAAAAAAAAAAGGAAGAAGGCCATTAGGACAACTTACCTGATGTGCTGCTTCTGTTTTTTTTCATTCTCCCATTTCTGGTAGGTGAAATCTTGCCTTCAGTGTGCTCTAAAGAAGAGTCATCATTGTAATCCAGATCTTTCGCCAAATCTGTGTCACTTTCACCTGAACTATCATCCCAATGAGCAGCATCCCCATTTTCAACAGCCTGTGTATAAGTACACCCGTTTTAAACACATGACAAAATTGAGATATGGATAAAATGGTAGAACGAATAAACAGACAGACAGATAGATACCTGTGCAAAGATCTTTTCTGCCACAAGAGATGGACAGGGCAAAACCAAAAAACAGAGGACAAGTCTCTTGAAGATAGATTCTGGTGGAAAAGACTTGAGCACATTACACCAGTATTGTTCCAGAGTAAGGGTTGAAGATGCGTCTTCTTCATCCTCTACAAGCTGGTACTCCAAGAACTCATCTGTGAGCTTAGCAGAATCCTCAGGTTTGGAGCAGATGCCAAATTGTACTGCAAGGTCAACTATACTCTTTCCTGTGACCTTTAATCTTCCTGCCGGGCTGAGGAGTTGTGAAATGCCCCTCAGGACACTATCGCTCAGAGGTAGACTGTCAGCAATGGAGGTCGTAAGAGTTTTGTAGAAAGCTAAACACTCATCATGAAACACGTTCAGGTAAACTGCTAGTTCTTCTTCTCTGGCGGAGATGAAGTCTTCTACCACACCACCTAGACTGAGCTCAGTAGCAGGAAGACAGAATGTTGAGTTCTCCAGGATGGCTGGGTCTCGTTCCTTCAGGTAGCGTATAACTGCTTGAGGGCGAAGAAAGCTGGAGGCATACGAACGTAGGAGCCCACTTGCTTCTCGAAGGACCTGGACAAGATCAGCACGAACAGAGCCTTTGCTTTGTTGCAGGTGCTGCTCAAAGGCACGGAGTGGTCCAAGAGCATGATCCAGAAACATCAAGGTGATTCTAATTTTAGGATTCTCCAGCTGCGAACAAATTTGTTTAGCTTTATCATTATTTTCATCGCAGGAAGTGAAGTATGATACCAAATCACTCCACATTCCAAGCATCCTTTGAACAAGCACACAAAACTCCTCACAACTGTGTGAGAGGGGAGTGCTGGGGTCTTTTAGTTCATCAATGCCCGCAAACAGCATCTTGAGGTTGTCGTTGCTGGTGGAACAAGTTGAGAAGTGTTCATAGATGTTGGCAATAAGCTCCTGAACCTGACTGGAGTGAGCCTGTAGGCCAGCATTGCAGGCAGAGTCAGGTACGCTGTAAAGTCCACCAAGATCAATCACCTGTGGGTTGAGCTCCTGAATCTGCGACACAACACTTCCTGAGGTCTGTTCCTGGCCATTAACATAAAGAGCTACCATGTTGCCAGCAGGAAGCTCAAATTTTTGGAGGACATTGAGTAAACATCCAGATACAGAGATACCATCTTCAGCCTGAAAGACATCAAGGAGACGGATACAATATCTTGATCGCTTTTCCTCAAAAAAGCCGACTAGCACTGCATGGCAGGAGCTCCTTTTTATGTTTTCTGCATCAAGTGGCACCTGCCCGTATATGTAGATACAGTACGGATTGATCTTACAAGCAGAAACAATATCATTTGGATAATTTAGGCCGAGGATGTAGCTTGCAGTACGCTGGGAGACCTTGTTTATCCTTGAGGGTGAACTGGAAAGGCAATGGTTTTGAATGAAAAGCAGCATGGTTTCACTATAGGAAATAGAGTTTTCTATCAGCTTTCTACCAGATGAATTTAATCCTCCCATCTCATGCGTCATGTGCTTCTCAGCCTGCTGGTGTCGCTTAAGATCGAAAAAACCTGCGTGTAGAACGATATTGAGGTCACACAATGTGCAGTAAGCACAGTTGTTTCCCATATGGCTGGCTCTGATCCATTTGAAGGTTCTTTGCCATTTAGGATCATAGGTCACAGGTCGCCTCCTTCCATTCAATTCCATGTCTTTGTCAGACTCGTCTCTTACTCTGCCTGTATAAAATGGAAAACAAGTTACATCCGTGTTGTGATGGAATAGTATATGTATTTCAATGACAAATAGATTTCCCAGTCTTATTGATGTTTTTATAGATATTGGGGCATATTTTAACATTATCCATGATTGTGGGAAAACTGAATCAAATAAAAGTCAAATTCTCCATACTGAAAAAATAACAAATAAACTATAATAATAAAAAAATAAAAACTGAATGGACAATAATGGAGGCTCACCAGATTCACGTGGAATTTTCCAGGATTTTGGAGACTTAACAGGGTCATCTACTTGTACAATATCCTGACCATTACGAGCTTCAACTGGGTTGTACTCTTTCCCTCGCCTCTCATTGGCAAAGAAAAATTTCTTGAACCATTTCAGAAAGGTGAAATTGGCTCTAAACTTTCCTGTGAGAAGCTGCTTCACAGGGACTGGCTGAAAGAGGCATAAAAAAAAATGCAGAAAATCAACATACTGTAAAGAGCTTGACAGATAACCTACTTTGCAAACCATACAAGATTCACATTTAAATATCCAGCAGTATGTAGTTTCTGTTCCACTCATGAGACTAAACAGAATAAACAACATAAGAAATATAACCAAATTTACACATATCAACTTCAATGTTTACAATTTTATTTGCAGGAGGATTACTGGGAGTAAAAGAATAGATTAAGGTTAATCTGACCTCTTTTACACCTGATTTTCGGAAAACTGTCTGCAGAAGACTGTAGTTCTGTATAAAATCAGACCTCTTTTGGGACTCAAACTTTACTTTGCTCATGTCGATGGATCCTGGGAAGAGCAAGTCCATAAGCTGGCAAAAACACGCACCTAAAAACGATAAAAGAAAAAGAAAGAATGATGTTCAGTTTAAAGGTGTTGGCAATGTGTAGATATTAACAAAATAAAATCTTAACAGTACCTGAACGACATTGCTCCACTTGAGTAAAATTAGTCTGTAATGTTTCGTTGATCCAGGACAAAACTTCATAGCGACTGCACTTGTCATCAGGGTTATTGGGGTCCAGACTTACATTCGTAGCCATCTTATCCTTTCATAAGCAAAATAATAATGCATGCGAGACAGCAATTAGAAGCAATAAATCATAGCCAAAAGGTAATTACATTGCACATTTGAAATCATAGAAGTGTTTGTAGTTTTATGCTTACATTTATGGTATGACACTAAACCAGTAACAAGGTAACTTTGCTCACCTATATATAATTTTGTGAAAAAGAGAGACTTATTTAAAAGATAATGCTGGGTGAAGATGATGCATGAGTTATTGAAGTTACTCTTAGATTCATATGAAATGTATAATGTGAAGTTAATCTCAGAAGCATATGAATTATATAATGTAATGTTGCATGTGAGATACATGTTTTGAGGTTAATCTAAAAGGCATGATGATTAATAAATGTTTTGTATTCTGAAGTCTAGTGAGCCTAGTCAGGCTACGGCGGTAAAGTTAGTTTGACGTTTGACATTCATTAGACATTCTTTTTTCAGTTTTTTGCCAATTAAACTCTTTGCAGCTTTTATGTTTTGATCCGAAAATAAACTCAGATAGACATAAATATATGCCCGTTATGTCGCACAAGGCTTAATTTCTAGGAATTAAAAAAAAAATTACCATTTAAATTAATTAAACAATTGAACTGCGTGACATTATAATATAAAACCAATACTAAAATGTTCGTGAAAACATACCTGTTATCGCACAAAGCTCCGTTTTTGGAATTACAATTTTATGTTTTTTATAATAATTTTACAACTTTTAATGTATGCAATAATATAAATCCATTAAACGACAACACCATTTGATCTAAAGGTATCAAACCAACTGTAAAATATTCAGAATATTATTCCCTATAATGCACAAGTCTTGGTTTTCCAGATTATGCCTTTACTGTTTTTATATACAGTACTGAATCCATATTTGTCATGTTTTATATACTGTACCCACTTAAATTAATTAAACTCTGCCACAGTTTGAGATAAATGTATCAAACCAACTGTAAAATATTCAGAATATTATTCCCTATAATGCACAAGGCTTGGTTTTTCAGATTATGCCTTTATTGATTTTATATATAGTACTGAAACCATATTTTTTTCATAGGTTTTATATACTGTACCCACTTAAATTAATTAAACTCTGACAC